GCATTTAGTCAAATTTGGGCATCCTGAATGTGCTCCAGAAGAGAGAGCCTCGGAAGGAAAAATGCACTTAAAAGTCTACAGCTCTTACTGCTTCTGTGGAGATTTGTTGGCTTTTCTAGCCCCTCCTGGCCCACCGCAAGGTTGTGTGACTTGGCAGCTGGTCTCCATTGCCACCCTGCTCGTAGCACTGCCGCGAAGGGTCAGGGGAAGCCTGCTCACTGCCCCAGGCAGAAAACTAACTGAGGATGCACCAGTGCCCTGCCTCTGGAGTGGGGATGGGCTGCGGGGACTAGAAGGGTCTCGTAAGGATTTGCAAGAGGGGCGACATCCGGCCTCCGCAGCCACGCTTGCCGCATTCTGCACCAGCACGCCAGCGCCAGCCCTGGCCAGTGCAGCTGGTGGTGAAACCAGTGCTGTAGGACGACTGGGGAGGGAGCCGACCCTTGGCGCCCTGCCAGCTGCTCCCGCTGACTGTCCTCAGGGATGTGGCGGCACAGCGAGCTGCCCTCTCTCCCCCTGCAGAGTGGTGGCCACTTAGCCTGAACCTCCCCGGCTGTAACCACTCTGGCTGTCGACCAAGAGGTATGAGGAGCCCATTATGGCCAACTGGCACAGTCTTAGCTTCCAAAGAGTAGACCCGATTGTGCCCCTCAGGGAGGAAGCCCTGGGGACTAAAGCCTCAGAAGCAGCAGGGCCAGAGATTGAAGGTACAAGGCCCCCTTGGGTCCTGAACACTGGTTGGGGGGGGCGCCAGCACCATACGCTGACAAACCCACACTGAAGCCTTGGGGGTGTGGAGCACCCTTACTCATCCTTCGGTGGGATATTCCACAAAGTCATCTGCCTCTGAGTGATGGAATTCATGGTCGAGTTAGTAAACTCTACAGGCCTCAGCCCATCGCTGTACTTGATTCTCTAGAATTTCATTTTTGGCCAGTGCAGTGGCATAGGAAACCATGATGGTCCAGGAGCCCCTCAGGAGAGCCCCACAGGTGGTGTGGTGGGCAGAGGACACGCATCCAGGATGAGCACTTACTTACTCCGTTGATGTCAGATTGGTTCTTCCTTGACAGGCGGCACAGTGTTCTCACCCTGGCAGCAGCTGGTGGGGACATTCCAGAGTGAGGCCACTGTGCATCTGGCAGGTTGTGTACTCATGCTAGTCCGGGGGGCCCCAGCACTGACCCCTGCCACCATAGTCACCTCCACAGAGGGGCCTCCTTGTTGCCAGGAGCATGTGCCTGGAAACAGACATGGTCACGTCCTCCTTTCCTGCTTAGTTTATCTCATTGAGCATGATTTTCATCTCCAAGCACTCTGCTTGATTTATTAAAGGTGCCCTGGATTTTTTTTTTTTTGGAGGGAGAGAGGTGTGAGTTTTTTTGTTTTATTATTTTAGAGACAGCATGAGCAGGGGTGGGGGGGGGTGCAGGGGCAAAGTGGGAGAGAGAGAGAGAGAATGAGAATCCTGAGCAGGCTCCATGCTCAGTGCAGAGCCATCTTGGGGCTCTATCCCAATGGCCCTGGGATCATGACCTGAGCTGAAATCAAGAGTGGATGCTCGACCGCCAGCCACCCGGGTATCCTGCCCTGTTAGTTTTTATATTAGGTTTGTTTATCTTTTCCTTTATGGATTTTTTTAAAAATTTCATATGTAGTATTTCAGGTTTCTAGAAGTAACTGTCAGTATGTGAAGTCCTTCGGGCCCAGATCTGTGATGGCTGTTTTTGCTGACCCTCACTCTTGGTGATTTGCTTCCTCGTGTGCTTGGTGATCTTTAATTACAGATTCATTTTCATCTGTCTCCATCCCTGGGAAACCTGGGGACCCCTGCCGGGCTCCCCCTCCGTCCACAGGGATTGTGGCTTCTGCTCTGCTGCAGGGAGGGGCCCTGCTGACGGGGCAGCTCCACCACCCGTGTGCCTGCCGGCCTCCTGTCACAAACCAGAGCCGGCTCCGGTCACCTGGCCTCCGTGAAGCCCGCACCGCCTGGCAGCCCTCATTCAGTTTGCACCCCTTTTCAACTCAGGGCTTTCCTTCCTGTTTTTTTTTGTTTGTTTCCTCCCGTGCTCCCTTAGAAATTCCCTTTCTGCCCCGCCTGTCCAGGAACAGCTTTGTGTTAGTTTTGGCTGGAGGGTCCCAGGATAATAGGTTCCCTATTCTGGAAGGGGAAGTCTTGGAATGACCTCTTTACGGAGGTGCTTTTGCGGCAGGTACCTCTCGCTGCATTGGTCATTGTTTGCTTTCTCGTCTTCTTCAGAGAAGACCTGTGTGGCACACTGTTTCCCCAGAGCCCAGATCTCTAGGGTGCAGCCAGTGAGAAGCTCAGTAAGTGTGCTGGTGTGGGTGCATCCACCGACCAGGTCCTCCCGTGTGGACAGTGTAACGACACCAAACAACACTGTGATTTAATCCTCTTGATTATTTTTGCAGGGATTTAAAATGCCCAAGTGTAGCTCAAATCTGTAAAGGGTTTCATGATGTGTTACTAGATAAAGATAGAAGATTGTCCCAACGAATCCAATGTAAAGTATGGAAATTAAATTGTTTGTTTCCTTTTTAGATTCACGAAGAAGAAGTAACTCTTAAACTTAACCCAGAATTTGAACAAGCATATAACTTTGAACCCATGGATGTGGAATTTACATATAACCGGTGAGGCTTTCGGTGTCTCTTCCTGCAAGCGCGTTTTCGCTGTTGATGGCAGCAGCCTCTTCCGTCCGTCTCTCCACCCGGAAGTGCCGGGGCGGGGGAGGCAGCGTGGGGTGTTCGCGTTTCTAGGTCACGACTCCAAAGTTGCAAACATTTTCTCTTCATTCATTTCTGGACTTTAAGTACGCTGAGATCTTGTCATTTACCACATTGCGAGCATGGAGCAGTGGCCCTGCCAACCTGCCGCCCCCTCCCTTTCACCCCCCCCCCCCCCCCCCCCCCGCTAACTGGGATTTTGTATTTGTTTCTCCCTTGCTTTAAAAAAGAAAAAACAGTTTGTGCATCTTTATACACACACACACATACACCCACACACAGGAAAAACGTATTTTAAAAAAATTTTTTTTAACGTGTATTCATTTTTTGAGAGAGAAAGTGTGCGCAAGCAGGGGAGGGTCAGAGAGCAAGGGAGATACAGAATCCGAAGCAGGCTCCAGGCTCTGAGCTGTCAGCACAGAGCCCCACGCGGGGCTCGAACCCACAAACCGTGAGATCATGACCTGAGCTGAAGTCGGACACTCAACCGACTGAGCCACCCAGGTGCCCCAAGTATTTTTTGGGTTTGTTTTGAGCTTGCGGTCCCTAGTGTCTAGGAGGATTTCACTGGCATGTTACCAGGATTCTCCATGTTGTGTGTCACTGTTCAGTGTCACCTACTGCTTCCCCCCCCCCCACCCCGGGTGAGTCCACTACTCTACTTGTTGTGTGGACGGACATCGGCCCTGTCTCTGCTCTGAAGGTTTTCTGTGGGCACCTTCTCCCTCCTTGTGCACAGACACTCATGTTTTCTGGGCTGTACACTTAGAAGTGAGACTGCAGTTTGGGGGATGTACATTTCAGCTTTTACCTGTGGTGACATCAGAGATCCCCAGAACCGGCATCTGTAAGAACCTCTTGATCCATGCCAGCCCAAACCTGGCTTCGTTAGCCTTCTAAATTTGTGCCAGCTTGCTAGGTATATAATGTCTCCTTATGGTCTGGAGGTGCATTTCTCTGACTGCATATAGAGTTCAGAATTTCCATGTTTCTTGGCCACAAGATTTCTTCCTCTCTGAAATACTGGCTCATATCTTTTCCTTCTGAGTAATTTGGTTTTCGATATTTGTAGGAGTCCTTTCTGTGTCCTTTGTGCTGTGCTGTTCCTGGGTAGGCATGCTACAGAGAACTTCTCTAGATCTGTTGCTTATTGTTTCATTGCATCTTTTAAGTATGAGAAGGTGCTAATTTTAAGATAGATCAGAGATTTTTTTTTTATATTAATTTTATTTAAGGAACATTTGAGTGTTGGGACTGCCACCAGCTCGAAGTGTGTTGGGCGTGAATGGGTTGAGGGTCAGCAGGGAGAGGCCGTTACTGGCCGTGGAAGCAGAGCAGGTGGAGTGGGAGCTAGGTGAGGTCCAGGAAGGGGACGGTTCTCGAAATGAGAGAAACCAGCTCAGTAGAGCCCCTGCAATGGCAGGGGTTACAGGGGTGAGGAAGCATGTGTGGGAAGAGGTGGACCTGGCCAGGTGGGACAGGGGTCCTTGGCAGGACGAAAGAGCCAATTTGTCCGTGGACATTTCTGACCGAGTGTCCCCCTGGACCGTGCGCTAGGCCCACTGAAAGGGAGGAGGAGGCGGGGAGGGAGAAGAGAGCTAGCACAGGCGGAAGGCGGTGCACGAGTTGGCCTGCGGAAGGACGCGGGACAGAGGGCAGGTGTGACAGGCCGTGGGGCTGAGCCAGAGAGAAGGTGTCCCAAGAACAGCCAGAGGGTCTGTGGGCCTGGTACCGGCAGCAAGGGGCTGCTGGAAGGCAGCGATCTTGAACGGACGGACAGACGCACGGACAGACACGGGCCCAGGTCTTGAGCAGGCTGGTGGGCGGCCAGGCGGAAGGTGGAAGAAATAAGAGACCGGGTGGGAGCGGCGGGCACCTCAGCACGAGCCCGGCTGCCACCTCTGACAGCCTGGAGCTGTCTGCCTCTGGAGCCTCTGCCCGTCCCGGTTAGGGTGTAGGTTGCTTGCTTGTGTTAAGTTACGGAAAACCAGAATTCTCACTTCCAAAAAAATGTGTGTTCCCCACTTGTTAAGAAAGACGGGAAGATGGGCAACACCGCTGCTCCGCGGGTTGAACAGAGCTGAGGGCGGGGCCTCTGCACAGGGCAGGTGGGCCGCACGTCTCTGTGAGTGCTTACTTCCCATAGGAAGTTTCCTGTTTGAAAAGAAGTGGGCCTACGGAGATACAACGTACGTGTGGTCACCTGTGCCTGATGAAACGTACGGTTTGAGGATTTGGACGTGTGTACATCCCGTGAAAGAGCACATCCACCACCGCAGACACTTCCTGTGCCCCTTCCTCGTTCCTTCTCCGCCCACCGTTCCCTGGCCACGGGCAGCACTTTCTGTCACTAGTTTGTTTGCACTTTGTACAGTTTTACATAAATGGAAACGTTCAGGACCTACTGTTTTTTGCCTGGCATCTTTCTTTCCCTTAGCAGAATTATTTTGAGATTTGACCGTACTGTTACATGACTTTGTTGCCTTTTTGAAAATGGTAGTTGTCAGGTGTATAACAGTGATTCTGATTTGGCTCCTTTTGAGGCCTGAGTAGTGTGTGTCGTTAGAGGAATCTGCCACAGCTCACCTGTCCAGTCACCTGTGGGTGGACATTGGGTTTTTCCGTACGTCGGTCATTCCAAAGAGAGCTGCTGTGAACGTCTGCGTACAGGTGTTTGGATGCACCCAGGTCCCTTTCTCTTGGGTGGGGCTGTGTGATGGCTGGGTCCTGTGGTGCGGGGGCACTCAGCTTCTTAAAGAAGTGCCAAACAGTTTTCTAAAGCAGCTACACCGTTTGCATTTCCAGCAGCTCGTGTGAGGGTCCCGTCGCCCCACCTGCTCACAAGCCTTGGGCCGGTCAGTCTGCTAATTTCGGTCCTTCTGTTAGTTGGGAGGTGGTGTCTCTCTGTGGCCCGGGAGCACGTTTCCCTCCTGAGTAAAGCTGAGCAGCTCTCCATGTGCTCGTTGCCGTTCATGCGTGTTCTCGTGCTGCCGCGTCTTGAGCCCAGGCAGTAGAAGCCCTCCTCTTGGTCCTCCTCCTCTTGTCTGCCAGGCTGTGGGGGCTCTTTGGGGTCTTTGGTGCTCCTGTGTGCCTTTTAGATTCAGCTTGCCGGTGTCTGCACAGCACCTGTTGAGATTCTGATTGGGATCACGTTGAATTTTTAGGTCCGTTCACGGGAGAATTGACACCTTCATATTGAGACTTCCAGCCCTTGAAAACGGTCCCTCTCTCCACCTAGTCAGGCTGTGTTTCATTTCTCTGACCAGTGTCTGCAGTGCTCACTGGGAGTGTTTTGCTTATCTTCTGTCAGATTTTTCCAGCCCTCAAAAAAATGTAATGCTGTGGTAAACAGTAATTTTAACCTCAAATTGCTTCTAGCTACTATTCACGAATGCCATTTATTTTTGTATGTTAATTTAGTATCCCGAGAGCTTGTTAAATGCATCTGATGGTTCTAGTAGCTTTTACAGATTATGTGGGATTTTCTACATAGACCATCTTTTTGTTCAAGTAAAGAGCTTTACTGCTTCCTCTCCTATCTGAATGCATTGTTTTTCCTTGCCTGACTGCACTGGCTAGATTAGCATTTCACGGAAGTGGCCTTGTTCCCGACCTGAGGGTGTAGCATTCATTCAGTCTTGAACGTCAGGCACCACGTGAGCTGGATGTAAGCCCTTTGTATTCAGCCCTCCATCAGGTTGAGGAGATGGCCTCAAGTTTTCTGCGAGCATTCAGTCATGGCTGGATATGGGGTTTTGTCAGATGCTCTCTCTGTATCCAGGTGGTCATGTGGTTTTCCTTTTTTTTTTTTTTTTTTTTTTTTTTGTCTATTAAGATCATTATACTGAGTGGTTTTCTAATGTAAAATCAACTTTGCATTTTTGGAATAAGCCTCACTTGGCCCTAATGTAATTTCCTTTAATACGTTTGATATGATGTGCCAGAATTTTATTAATTTTTGCATCTATGCTTATGTGGTGTGTTGGTCTGTGGTTTCTTGAAATTATCTTTTTTCTGATTTTGGTATTAGGATAATGTTGCCCTCACAATAAGTTAAAAATCATCACTTTCTCCTCCGTTCTGGGGGCTAGTTTGTGTAGAGTATGTAGAATTGGTATTCTTCCTTAAACGTTCAGTGCAATTTGCCAGTAAAGCCTTCTCGGTTTGGAGCTTTCTTTGCAGGAAACTTTCTGACTACAAATTTGATTTCTTTAATAAATCAGTAACTATTTAGGCTACCAATTGTGTGTTGAGTGAGCTTTGGCAGTATGTGTCTTATAAGAAAAGAATTTGTGCATTTCATCCAAGTAATGCATTTGCGTGAAATATCCTAGTATTTCCTTAGCAGTAGTACTTTCCGAATCTGTACTGATGATGTCCCCCTCTCTCGTGCCTGACAGTGGGGAATACCTACCTTCTTAGGTCTGGCTACAGGCTTCTCAGTTCAGCCTTATGAGGGAAGAGGGAACCAGCTTTTGATTTCATTCATATTTTGCAGGCTCTTTCTACTTGTTATTTCGTTGACTTCTGCTTTGGTCTTTATTTATTTGGGGTTCCATCTGCTCCCCTTTTTCTAGTTTCTGGTGGTGGAAGTTGAGGTCATTGACTTGAGACCTTTCTTCCTTTGTGATTTTGGAGTTTGGTGCTGGGTGAGTGCTGAGTGCTGTCCTGTGAAAGGTCGGAGCCCAAGTCACCCAGCCAGGGTCCAGTTCGGTTCCCAGGTGTTTGCTGTTAGGAATAGTGAGGCAGGAAATCGTCTTCCGTGTCTGCACAGTGATGTGGATGTAGGGAGAACTGGCATCTTGGCAGCGTGGAGTCTCTTTTTCAACCATAGGTTGCACTTAGCGAAGCTTTCTGTGTTTTTTCCTTTTGTTCTTTGTCCTCCTTTGGAATTCTTGTCTAGCGTTTTCCTCATGGTTTTCCACCTCTAACTTGTTTCACGTTTTAGTGCAAATAAATACCTCTAGGGTTTTACCGCTTAGTATCTTGCCGTTTTTCAGATCAGTCAGGTCGGGAGATGATTCATCGGTCTCCACTTTAAGCTATTATGCTCATTGCCTTTTTGGCATTTCTCGAGATCATTATTGCTTACCTTCGGCGTGCTCATGAGATGAAGTATTTCCACTGGATAACTTCGGATCAGACCTTTCTTGTGTGTGTAGGATGAAAAACATGTTACTTTTATTTTGGTGAATTCCTCCTGTAGTGTGCTTCTGGGATCTGTTGAGAAACCGTTTATTCCCGTTTGGCGTGCTCTTTAGAAGGAAGGCCGTGATCCTGCAGGGTGACCAGCTTGTCTAGTTTGCCTGGTGCTACCTTTGTGACATGTCCCAGTCTTCTGTGCCCTTTGAAAGGTGTCGGAAGCTCCCCTCCTGCTTCTCGGGCAGAGGCAGAATGGCCCCGGCTCGCCAGGCACGGAGCTTGGAAAGCCTCCCCCGGGAAGGCCTGGCCGTTCCTCCGTTTCTTCCCCTTGAATTGATCCGCTTGAGTGTCTTGGAGCCCAGGTAACTGTGTGTGAAGAGTCCTTGCGGGGACACAGCGGGGCTGCCAGGAGCCTCGTGCCCGGGGCCCCAGAGGAAGGGCCTCTGAGGGCTGTGCTTGTGCATTCAGTTTTGCCAGCTTCACACCCCCACCCGCCCACCCACCCCCTACCCACGACTCACCGGAGGGCGACCGTGAAGTGTCTGCTCTACACCTCATGATTCAGGTGAGAAACAATCACCTGGTCCTTGGGCTCACAAGTCTGAATTTTCCAGAAACCTATATGCGGCCCGATTTCTGAGCTGGTATGGAGCAGCTCTTGTACCTTTGCTTCTTTGAAGGCCAGATGTTCTTTCTGGAACAGACGTCCATCTTCAACTGTGCCTTGGAGCTTTGGTCATCCCATTTCATTGAAGATGAGGTTTTATTTTACGTTTTTAATTCTGTTTGTTGTGTTAAGAAACAAGACAGGCCCACAACGGAGTGGCTTATGCTGAGTGCCACGTCACCAAACAGGGAGGCGATTACCGGTTTGGCTCCCCCGAAACGGAATCTTAGGCTGGTCAGTCGGGAACTGCCTGGTCAGGACTGGTCAGGACTGGTGAGGCTCCGCCTGCCGGACCCCTGCCCGCCCCCGCGGAAAGCGAGCTGGGGAGAGCCGGCCCCCTGTCTTTCCCGGGATAACTCCCTCGTGCCGTGCCCGCTGCCTTCTGGCTGCGGGAGTCCTTCGCGTCGGACAGCTCCTCGGAGCCCCTCTGTCCGCTGCCTGGGATGCTGCCTGGTTCGGATCAGTTTTTACTCAGAGTCTTAAAATTGTTAATAAGCCTCAGTTTATGTTTTAACTTCGAGTTGTGAATTTCAGAGGTTTAAATCTTTACAATAAATAAATCTTTACAATAAAATAAATAAAATAAAATAAAATAAAATAAATAAATAAAATAAAAATCTTTACAATAAAAATTACTTTGTTGTTGAGGTAGTGGTATTAATATTTTAGGCTGTTTTTCTGTTTTTTCCCCCTACTTGTTCTCTTTATATATTTAAAAGAGAAATACTCCCAGAAAGGAAGGAGTCCCTGCTGTCCCCATACATGGGATGTCTCTGTTTAAAGTTCTTCTGTAAATCTCCTAATGTTGTCATGTTGTGTATAGACAGACACCCACTGAAAAATGAGCCCCTGCGCTCCAGACTCCCTGGCGGGGGCCTCTGAGAACCTCGGGGGCTCTGACTCTAAGACGGCCCCTCTATAAGTATTCATACAGGTTAGATTTCCACGACCAGTACTAGGCCAGTATTTCTAAACTGGAGGTGAATTATTTGATATTCTCTCTCTGGCAGGACCACGAGCAGACGGTGTCACTTTGCGCTTGAACACGTCATCCACTTAGGTGTTAAAGGTATTATTTTTGTGGAATAATAGTTCACTTCTTCCCAGAGTATTTTTACAAGTTCCATGCAAAATTTTGTGTAAAACACAGTCTCTTCGGTCGTATATTACAAGTAAAATTATGTGATATCCAACGTTTTTCTTTGCCACTGGCAAGTTTTAGTGTCTCTTTACTATTTAATCTGTGTGGAAATTACTGAAACTGAAGCCGTTGCCCTGTGCTTGTCCCTTTGTAACATAATTAACTTTTGTGGCTCCAAATGGGCACATGGCTCCGTTGTGAGCAGTACCCAGAACTGCTGTTCTGCTGTAGCCGAGAAACCAAGTACGGGACCCAGACGGGAAAAGCCTAGGTTGCTGCCGTTCATTCATCGTTTTCAAGCTTTCGGTAACACCTACCTTCTTATCTCGTTTTAAAAGTGTTGTTTCCAGAAGAAATCATTTTACAGTCTCCCCAAGTGACGGTAAACTGGAACGACGTACAAGACACCAAACGTGATGGCCAGCCCACCAGCAAGGTATTGCTTCGATGACTTTGAAATATTTCGTAGATGGTACGTTAGTTCTCAGTGGCCTGGAATTTTAGAGGCGTGTCGTTCAAATATAGCCCAAGATCACAGCTCAAATAAAACTAGGATATTCGGGGGTGGCTGGGGTGGCTCAGTTGGTCTGACTCTTGATTTTGACTCAGGTCATGAACTTGTGGTTTGTGGGATCGAGCCCCGTGTTGGGCTCTGTGATGACAGCATGGAGCCTACTTGGGATTCTCTGTCTCCCTCTCTCTGCCGCTCCCCCACTCACATGCATGTGCGCGCATTTGTTCTGTCTCACGATAAATAAGTAAAAGCTAAGGTATTCAAACAACAGATTCAGCGTGAAGTTTATATACAGTTACACGGTACAGTAAGTGGAGAAAACCAAGGTGCAGATCTGTTTATATGAGCTTATCATTTAATTTTAAAAGTATATGCTTTTCTTGTACACTCAGGCACAGGCACATTTATATGATTATATATGCATAGAAAACGTCTGGAAGAACATGCGTCCACCAAATGATTAACATTTGTAATCTTTGTTTTTTTGTGGGTTTTTAAGTTTATTTATTATGAGAGCAAGAGGGAGCATATGCACATGCGTGCAGGGGAGGGGTGGGGGGGCAGAGATAGAGAGAGAGAATCCCAACGTGGGGCTCAAACTCACAAAGCCTGAGCTCATGACCTGAGCCAAGATCAGGGGTCAGACATTTAATGGACTGGGCCACCCAGGCACCCCAACATTTGTAATCTTTATGAAGATTATAAAGATAGTTTATTTTTCACTTATGGAAGCCGGTTCCATAAATAGTTCCATAGTGCCTGTTTTGTGCCAGCTATCGTCTAGGCTGTCCAAATGTTTATATGAGTAAAACAGAAATGGTTTTATTTATCATTGTGTTTCCAGTAATGAGAAAAACTCTCCATGTCTGTGGTGGGGGTTGTAACCTAGAGTACTGTGCTGTTCAAATTTGCTTTTTTGAACATGCTTTAAATATATAAAAAATACAAAATTTTAATTCTAATATTTAGAAACTCTTTCACCATTTTGTAGCCCCTCTCCAAAAATGCAAAACTGATAGTTTTAGAATACTTACCTACATATTCACAGAAAATCCTATGAAGGAAACATTAAAAAGTTTCCATTAAAATCACCTTTCTTTCTTACCTGATCTAAAAGTAGCAAAGGATCTTCAGTGGAACAGACACAGCGTCACCTGCAGCACCCTGCTCGCCCGTCCACCCTGTGGCCTGATTCTCAGGGAGGGTCTGTCACCCTGATGGGGACTCGGTGCCAGGTGGGGGAGGTGGTGCTGTTTGTGTGGGTCACATTCCTCATCAGCTGAACCTCAATATGTTTAAATGCAGAACATGATCTTCTTATGGATAAGCTAGGTCGCAAATGAACTTGAGGTCATTCCACACATCAACCAAGATGCAGTTACAGAGACTGAATCTGCCTTCCTACCTTAACTAATCAAAACTCAGACAAAGCACACAACACAACAGTTTCAGATACTTGTGTATCGCATGTCCTAGGACAATGATTTCGGACAGAGGAAGCAAATGAGGTGACCCTGTGATTGCCCCAGCTTACGATCTTCAGAGCTCCCGGGCCAGGGACCAGAAAGGGAGGCCAGTGGTCTACAGAATTGAGGAGACACACCTGGTGGCAGCGTAAGGACAAGGTGGATGGCATTCACAGGGCAGAGGACTGGGGGAGAGCACAGGACAAGAAGGGTCTGCGGCGCGGGGGGGGGGGGGGCGGCCAGAGTTGTGTCACGAATGCATGCCTGGGAAAGAAGCCCTGGAAAGCAGAGAGGAAGCCCGAACCCACCCCCACCCTTCCCCCAGTGCCGGAACGACTGGTTCCCAAAGCCAGAGAATTCACAGGGCAACAAGTAGAGTCCTCAGAGGGTGTTGCCTGCGGGTGGGGAGAGTCTAGCCCTACACTGCCTGCCAGCCCCACCCATCCACGGGCCCAGCAGAGAGTGGCTCTCCAAGCAGTGCAGCCACATCCCACAGCCAAGGTCAAGGATAGTTGCGGGAGTACATACACACGAGGTGTAAAATTCACAACAGCTGGTATCTAATCCAGAAATAAACTGAAAAACACTGTCCATAATAAGGAATTTCAGGACCGCCTGGGTGCCTCATTTGGTTGAGCGTCCAACTTCAGCTCAGGTCATGATCTCACGATTTGTAGGTTCGAAGCTCCACGTTGGGTTGCCCTGATAACACGCAGAGCCTGCTTCAGATTCTCTGTCCCACCCTCTCTCTGCCCTTTCCCAGCTTGTGCTCTTTAAAAAAAAAAAAAAAATTATTTTTTAAGGACTTAACATTGCTGCTTTATTTTAATATGAAACTTATTGTCAAATTGGTTTCCATACCAAAAAAAAAGTTTAAAAAACAATTCCATCAGTTGAAATCAACTAAAGAAAATAATAGTGGTATGCCAGGCCTAATAATGCAGGAGTGTGAAGGATGCCACGAATTCCATCTGGGGGTGTCTTTGAGCTTGCCGAGTAGACACCATTAACAAAGCTCACCCTCCTAAGTTGAAAAATTTATGGACGAGAAATTATCATTGAGATTAAATGGTGGCAGACATGTCCAGGGAATATTGCGGGGGTTCAGTCCCTTCATGAATCTTGGGAAAGATGGACGTGTGGAGATGGCAACTAGTGGGCGGCAGAACGACATTGGAATGGTGGTAATTCCAGGAAATTGTGTCATCCTGTTAGAAGCCTTGGAATGAGCATTGTTAACAACGGGTGTGTTATGGAAGAAACCAGTGGCTTCCACGTGTCCCCTCTCCATAGCTCCTACTATATAAACATTTTCCTACTATATAAAAATCAGGTTGTGCATTTTCATATCGAACTTTCTTGTTAAATAAACTTCTGTAATAGTCAAAAAAGGAATAACAGTGGTAGGAATTAGCAGACATGGACGTCAAAACAGTTATTATAATTATACTCCATATGCTCCACATTCAGTGGAGATATAAACAATAAAAGATAACTTTCTAGAGACAAAAACTCAAGGTCTTAAGATGAAAAGTATATCAGACAACTAACAGACTAGAGACTACAGTCAGAAATATTAGTGAATTTGAACACGGATAGAAACTCAGCAAAGCGAAACAATAAAGAAGAATCTTTAAAAAAAAAAAAAAATCCAAAAAAGCATCAGTGAGCTGTGGGACAAGTACCCACAGCCTTGCATCCACACAATTAGAGTCCCAGAGAGGGGAGTGTAAGAAATACTAGAAAAAACAGTGGAAACTTTCCTGATTCGATGAAAACTATAAACCTACATACATATCCAGGAAATTTAACAGACCTGAAGTACAAGAAATCTGGAGAAAACTGCACCAAGACACATGACAATCAAATGCCTGAAAGTTGCTTAGAAAGAACTTATAAACCTTAGAAACAAAGTCTCATTATAAGCAGGGGAGCAGAACAAGGAACGGCAGCAGATTTCCTATTGATAGCAGTGGGGTGGCTCTGGAAGGTGCTGGCAGGAAACACTGTCCGCCTGGAACTCTGTGCCCAACCTACACTGCAGAAATGAAGAGGATGTACACAATTATCCAGACGTGCCTGAGCTGAAAGATGGGGCAGGAGTTACCGCTGACCTGTACCACCAGCCGCGAGAGCCCTTACAGCACACGGAAACCGCCCTAGAGGGACACGATGGCCTCCCTGGAGGAGCAAAAAGGACCAGAAATGATCAGTGGGTGTGGACATGTAAAGAATGTTTTGTTGCAGAAAAAAATCCTCTTTAAAAGATAACTGAGTTTTTAACTTACTTTTTAATTCATTTAAAAGCGAGCACACACATGGCAAAGAGGGGCAGAGGGAAAGTGAGAGAGTCTCAAGCAGGCTCCGTACTTGGCACAGAGCCTGATGCGGGGCTCAGTCACAACTGTGAGGTCGTGACCTGAGCTGGAACCAAGAGTCAGATGCTCAACCAGCTGAGCCACCCAGGCACTCAGTAACTGACTTTTTAAACAGAAGGAAATCCTATAAAATGTGATGACGTGGGTGGACCTGGAGGACATTATACTCAGATAAGCCACGTCCTACAGGATCCATCTCATATGAGATCTCTTTTTTAAAATTTTTTTTAATTTTTTTAATTCATTTTTGAGACAGAAAGAGTCAGAGCATGAGCAGGGGAGGGGCAGAGAGAGAGGGAGACACAGAATCCGAAGCAGGCTCCAGGCTTTGCACTGTCAGCACAGAGCCCGACATGGGGCTCGAACTCACGGACTGTGAGATCATGACCTGAGCCGAAGCCGGATGCATAACCGACTGAGCCACCCAGGCGCCCCAACATACGAGATCTCTAAAATGATAAGACCCACGGGGAGCCTGGTGGCTCGGTTGGTTAAGCATCCGACTTCGGCTCAGGTCATGATCTCGTGGTTCGTGAGTTCGAGCCCCGTGTCAGTCTCTGTGCTGACAGCTCGGAGCCTGGAGCCTGCTCCGGGGGCTGGGGGAAGGGAATGGAGAGCTGCTGACAAGTGGGCACAAAGTCTCAGTCGTACAGGGGGGCAAGTTCTGGGGGTCTGCTCTACAGCTCTGACCTGCATTACATGCTATACTGTACATAGGAACATTTTTAAGAGGGAAGATCTGAAGTGAAATGTTCTTACTGTGGTAACATTTTTAAGTGATACTTAAATAATTTTTGAAAAGATAATTGATTTTTTAAGTTCTTGAAATAGTAGCAACGTATTAGGTAGTTTGTAACATACGTAGATCTAAACAAGGGATGGGAGAAGAGAGTATCACTTCTCTTATACCATATTGGTGTAATTTACTTGAAGTAAATTGTGATCAGTTAAAGATGTATACTCTAAATTCTAGAGCAACTACTGAAATAACAAATATAAAGAGCTAGACCCACAATGGAGATAAAATGGAATTATAAAAACAATTCAAAAGTAGCCAGAAAAAGACGGACACATGGAC